TTTAAGTTTTGTATTTTACAACTAGTAGGGCAATCACTCTTCAATAATAAATTATAATATTTCATCAAAAATCAAGTACCTGATAAAATAATACTGATACTGAGATTCTTAAAAAAACTGTTTTTTTTCTTGTTATATTCAAATTTATTAGATTTTTCAAAAAAAAAGGAACATAAAAAACATGAGCATTTCTTCTCTGATATTCACAAGACTATCAAAATTATTCTATGAATTCACGTTATTTGTCGGTGCTGATGTACTTGGTGCACCACATGAACATATTGCTATCAGCTGCGACTTTGTCTTTTATAGAAAACCATCGCGTCAATCCAAAAATATGTTAAAACGAAGAACCTTTCAAAAGCGGTCTCCGAAATTCCCATTTGAATTATATACCATAGCTACTGTCTCAACCTCATCAATTCATTTCGCTTTTATCTAAAAACCAGCAAATGAAAGCCGAGTACTTAAATTAGATATTAATTATGATCATCATTATTAGATATCACATTTAGGCGCTTCAATCCGTTCCCTTTCTTGTCGCTTGAAGTTGATGTCAAAGCAACACACGCACACATCACTTGCTTGTGTGATTCATCTATTTTAGATTTACCGTTTCTTTTTTTCTCTCTCGTTATTCTGAAATTCATTGCCAAAGGAAATCATACATTGAACGACAGCAAGAAAGAAAGTAAATAGACAAATAGACAGTCGCCCGCATTGCCGTCGATGCGACAAGATGAATGAACATTAGATATGATATTAAAGACTCATTACTCACATTAGCCATTATCGTTTCATATTTATAAGATAGAGATGATGAGAAGCAAGGGCGAGAGTGAGAGTGACAAAAAAGCAAATAACAAAAACAACACAAGAATTCACTTGATATTTACATGTAATGAGGCCGCTTTTTAAACAGAGAGAGAATTATACAATGTACGCATAAGTAAAATTGACAAAATCGAAAAAGGGGTAACACAGTGAATTAGTACTGTTGTGTGGCACATGTAAGGCAACGACACAAAGGAATTCGATTTTGACTTTATGTCACAGTGCGTAAAAAACGTATGAGCTCAAAATGAACGCGCGAATCGCTGATGAAAAGATATTTCTATTGCATAGGGTAACCGAGTAATGCGCTATATGTTTTATATGAAAACGTCACACGAATCTCCCCCGAAAACGACATCTTTGGTCTTGCAGCAGAAGCTGTTTCTATGCTGAAAATTTCATTTCAGTTTAAAAAATTTAAAATATTATTCATGTAGAATTGTACAAATATTTCAAAACGTTGAAATGAGATTTACAGAAATATGCATTTGAAAATTGTTTTAAAAAATAAACACGGCACAGTCAATTTCAAAAATTTCAATGAATAATATTGTTGACATATTTTCACGATGACAGCTATTTTTGCGGTACAAAATTGACACGTTTGAATGATACGTCAATATTGAACATACTCTACACACATGGGGAAACAGAGATGGCGTTGTCGTAGCATGTAGCAAAATATATGTTTAACGCAATATTCGGCTTGCATAGGGACTTTTTTTATCTCCAATTCGGTTTGCATGATTTTAAAATTGCCATTAGCATTCTCGTTCGGTGAATTCGGTATATGCACTTATAAAATGTAATGACAAAATTAGAAGCGATAAAGAATACCGGTCGGCTGTGGTTAATTTCGAATGGAATTGAGGCTGATCAAAAAGAGTGTCGGTGATGGGAATAAAAAACCTATTAAAAATTCAAAATATAAAGACGTTTTGATGAAGTGACGTTACTAAGCAATATTCAGTAGACCGGAGAAAATGTTAACGAATGAAAAAGACCATCAATCACAATTTTGACGGTACAATTTGGGAACGACTTGAAAAATCGAAGTTGAATTACGCTTTCCCGCATGGGTTTTCTCATTTGTTCACATGTAATTGAATTGAAATTGGAATTTTGGCTTTGCAAAAGGCCAAAATATCAATTTATTCCGACAATAACCAAATTGAAATTGTGCAACTATCGTTTGGCATCAAATATGGATGAGATTTTCTCGACACACCATTTAAACTATTTTCGTTCGAGAAATTTTTGGTTTAGAAAATCGGTGTGTGTATGTGGATGTTTTGAAAAGTCGAAATGTTCATCTGTTCCGGTTGACTTGTGTTCGATTCGACACTATTCTACCTGCATTCATCTTGTAAAACCGCAGAGCGCCAATTCCTTTTCTTTTGTGGTGAATATCGTCGAGAGACGATGACTACAACGAAAACCCGTTCGAGAAAGGTGAACAGATCTCTTGAGATGATGATGAAAGAGAGATGAGGAGAGCCAAAACATTGCCACTAAACACATTCAAAATACACAAAATAAGCATAGCGCACACATACCATGGGCAGTTTGCTGAGATTGTTATTTGTTGAAAGTGCTTTTGTTCGATCCGGTCTGTGGATGCGGTGCAAATGAAATTCAGTAAAAAACAAACAACTCTCTACATGCCGATGAACTGAATCGAATGAAAACTATTCACCGAAAATAAATTCAACATCGATTCAAATGCATACAAATATCAACGACGAATGTAGTAAAAATGATGCTGACGACGGCTACACGGACAACGCAATTTAAATGCATATAACACATGACATTTTCTTGAATGCTTGCCTGCACTCTCAACCTCTTTGGCCACTACACGACGCGCTCATCTCAAGGTATGCAAAATGACAGTTTTGCACGACATGGCAATAGTTTCGAACAGCCATATCGAAAGAGAGTGAGAGATGAAGTGTGAGTGAAACGCATGAATGAATGGTCGTAACTATTAAAAACTACTTTTGCAACGTATTGTTCGTTGAATGCCATGTTTCGACAGTTTGGCTTTCGAATTGTGAATTATGTGTAACCGCCGTTTGTGTGTGCACACCCGAAACGATTGCCCGCAAACATCGAACCGAAATTTTAACAATGCCAACAAACGATTCGATGAGAGTGTGTTGCACTTACATCTCGCAAAACCCCATGGCTTAGACTTAGGTAATGTAATGATTTGTATTTGAGGACATGACGATGTTAACAATAGAGAGAAAGTGCGAGACGAGTCGATACGAGACGGTCGAGACATGGAAATTGAATTTGCTTTTCAAAATTCGAATGTAAATTGAATGCATGAGCAACAATCAAATTATCCTTCAACAGCAAAATCAGCTCTTTTTTGCCACCACCTTTTATGCAAAAGTACTAATGAACACATTGTTTTTTTTTCTCTATCTCCTCTCTCTGTGTGTCTTATTCCAAATATGTTGGAAAACTTGGTGATTATTAGCGATTCGTCAATATATCAGGCACAATCGATTTTGATACGAACTTTTAATAAGCAAAACGAAAAGTGCATGCTCTATGATTTTCATTAGTCGAGCTGATTTCATCGAATTTTATGCAAATAAAGTGAAACAACACTCTTAACGGTACAAGAAAGGATATGTCTACATCTTGACTTGCATCTTTTTCAGAACAAAACGAAGCTACAATATCATAACAGACATTTTAATGTTGCTGTTCAAGGTTCAAGGAATTGAAATAATTGGGAAACTGCTTCATTGAACATGGAATTTTGCTGAAAAACAAGTAATTCGAAAAATGAATTCATTTTTAACCAGTTTTTTGGGAAATATTTTTTAAAGAAGCAATAACATCGAATTCCGAACACAAGCGTCTAGACAATTTATTTTAAAAAATTCCGTGAGGAAAGAATGAGATTTATTTTTGGTTTATTTTTTAATCATATTGCAGGCGATACAATTTAATTGTTGGAATTTACACTTGAAATACACTTTCTGAGCATTTTGTCCTTGAAGCAGATGTAAATGCCTTATTTTATCTTTGAAACTGTGTTATTTTCCAAAAAAAAAAGAAAAAAGAAGAGACCCTTTCTAAAAAGAGAACAGGCAATCTTTTACAAGAACCACTTTCTTTTTGAATAAAGAAAAAGATGTTGTCACAAAACATGCACTTTCACTAATTAATTATAGATTTTTTCGCGATTGCACAAAAAATAATCCGTCGTTAAAGAGTTGTGAGTCAAAAAATGCTTTGCAAAACACGAAAAAATCTTGTAAATTTTGTCAGCACTTAAAACTGCCACATTCACTTGATTGTATCATAGGAGAAATTGTTTGGCAAAGAAATCTTGTGTCTTCAGCATAATCCAGATGTTTGATTGATGAAAAAACAAAATTTCGAAAAAAGCTTTTTTATAAATTGTTATCAAAAAAAATTAAGTAAAAATGCTGGTAAGACAGTGAGACGTGCACAGTTAGTACGATTCTTGAGAATTTCGACGTTTTTTCTTCTCTCTCTTAGGCAATCAGCGTCGTTGAAATCAAGAGCAAAACGAAAAAAACATCGAAAACGTTTAATTTCGTCTTTTGTTTATGTTGTGCAAGTGTGTGCGTTTGATTAAGAATGATGAAGCAACAACGGCCGAGAAGATGTGGAAAAACAAGCAAACTCAAAGGCGGGTAAAAATTCAACGTTTCGAATGATGATAACGATAATAGAAGTATTTCCATACAACATTTTCACATAATTTACATTGGAATGGAATATCCTTTTTGGAATGATTTGCCATCCTGCCACTGTGCAAACGGAGTGTTGCGCATGTGCCGTTTGTTACACTGAAAAGAAAGGCAGCAACTTGAATGTATTTTCCAGTTCTGTGGCAATTGCCCCTGCAGCGTATTTTTCAATCTCGAATATCCCCACCACCGTCAATTCCATCGACCAAACGCACCAATGTGTTCAACGGTTTACATATAAATTCGCATCGTCGTATTCGTTTTTCCGTACGATGGTTGCATTGGTGTGTGTATGAAAACGATGTATCGCATACGAAGGGTGGTGGCGAAACGAACGATTTCCACGCATTTTCGGCAATATTTCCCGTAAACACAAGACAACGGATAATGTTTCGAAAAAACTTTGTCGTCAGTTTCAAAGTATACTTTCGCAACTGCATACGCAATAAAAGTTTCAGACAAGTTTAATTTCTCTGTGCTCACAGTTTTGTACTGTGCCCCACTAACAATAATCATCATTATACGAAAACGGCTGCAGCACACAGTACAACACAGCAGCAGCAGCAGCAGCACTACCAACTACCAACAACACCAATTGTACCGCCACCAACAACAAAATATACACCGAGTTTTCAGCGACGACCAGAAGTTTTTTTTCGGAAAAAGTAGAAAACTTTGGCGCACACATCACACAACAGTGAAAACAACGATCATAGCGTAAAATTATTTTAAACGTAGTGTGCCCGAAAACGCCAAACACCAATTTCGCAATACTATTTGAATTCGTACGGAAAGTTTGAGGAAAAGTTTTTTTTTCGTACGTTAGTGTGATTTATGTCAAGGTTATTAAACTTCTCTCAAGTGATAATTAACTTAGTAAAACTTTTCATCACATTGTTATAAAACTCTGCATACGAACACCGACCCGACAAATTTTCACTTGGAATTTTCGGAATTTATTCTTTTTTTATCTTTTCGTTTGTTTTGCATGCATTTCAAAGGCGTCTGCGATTTCTTGTATTACATTTGTATGTGTATCACTTGCTGGTGATATAGATTTGTAGAACGAAAAGTTCAACAAGCATAACCAAGAAAAAAAAACACACACACACCGTCTATCATAAACGATAAAGTTTATCAAAAAATAAACTTGAGACAGTTTTTCGCGCGCATATTTCAAAGTCATCGTAATTAATTAAGAAGTCGTCGCGAAAGAGCGAAGAAAGTAGAAATTGTGTAACACTTAAATGTTTCGTCTACTTCTGCGTCGACGAACAAACAAAGTTTGTTTTTAGTGGTTTTTTAATGGCAGTTTAAGAAGTCGAACACATCGTGTATATGTGTGTGTGGCTGATTGTGCGAAAAAGTTGCTTCACCCAAAAATCAATAAAACAATTTTTGCATCACACATAAAATCGTTGACCTCGCGTATTGAACAATTTTTCCGCCTGTTTTGATTTGATATTCGGAATTTCTTTGTTGTTGTTATTTTCGATTGAAATTTAATGAAGTGTTTTTTTCATTTAACGACAAGTGCTTGAAACCGAGAGAGAGAAAGAAGTGTGAGTGAGTTTTGTAAGTGGTAAAATGTCTCCGTTACTTAATGCAAATAGCAGCAGCAACAATTCAAACAATTTGAATAGTTTGTCAACAAGTCCAAGTGCAAATAATACAAGCAGCAGTTCGGCATTCAAGCCACTCATAAGTGAAAATCGTCAATTAAACATGCTCTCATCAACGGTAACATCGGCTTCAGCCGGTTCGGCTGTCGATCCATACACAAGCGACTTAACATCGGCCTATGGTAGCGCCTATCATCATCACCATCATCACTTGAATTCCCAGCTCACACAAGACTATCTGAATGTTCATCAGAGTTTACCGTTAGTGTACAAAAGTGAACATGAAGATTTACAATCGGGCTACAGTTTTGCGCGTCCCGTTAAATTATATGAGCACAGTGCAACGACAAGCACATCGGCAAGCAGCGTTGGCTGCACGGGCGGCACTGGCGGTATGCAATCGAGTGGAAATAACAATGCAACAATGAAGAGTGTAGCATCGCTTGATTATTTAATTTCAGGATCGGCCACTAGTAATGGTGGTAGTAGCGTAAGTGCTGGTTATTCATCGGCAAATTTACATCAGAATGGTTATCGTGGCGATGCACCATCGCCAGGTGCTTCGATCATTGATTTATCCACATCGAGTGTTACATCGCTGCGAAGTGGCGTTGGTTCGACCTGTTTCACAAGCAGCTCATATTATGATGGTCAACGATATGATCGATCACCACAGTCTGCATCGAGTCCACATTATTCAAGCCCACAAATGCTCAGCCCACAAGGACAAACGCTTGATTTAAGCGTCGGCCGAACAACGTAAGCACATTCATTTTTCCCCTCAATGTCATAATGTCACCGTTTTTTTTCGTTCTTTTTTATCATTATTATTGTTGTTGATGTTGTTGTTAAAATATCAATTGGAAATATGATGAACCAACCGAAAGCATAAGATCAGAAAATTAAATTCAATGCAAAATAGATAAATAAATAAATTATCAATTGTTGTCTAGCCGGATAAATGCACAAAACAATTTATTGAGTTTACCCAATCAAATTATAGTGAAAATGCAACCAATGCAAACCGTTGCCATTTTATTCGATTTCATTTCAAAAGAAACCACCTACACAATTCTAATTGAATTTTCAATCATCAAACAAAATAGAAGTTTAACCGAATTACTGCACATGGCAATTGAGACGCACTGATATGCATCGTCCAACCAATCAGATGCAAATGTATGGTGCCCATTTGCATGCAACCAATCCAATTTGGTAAATGAGTGCGTGTCATTCAAATTCACCCATTCTACCCAATTCGACAATTGATCAAAATGATAAATGAAGTTGTGCATTTATGTGGCATATTTGTGTGCTCACCATTTGAAATAGCTTGAGCGCTTGAGAAAATTCAATGCCAACCAAATCAAATCTCATTTCATTTTTGTACAATTTTCTCATTCCGTTTATTATTCTCTATCGAATATTATATATTGGTAGTATGCACGTTGTTCTCTCTATTTCACCTAATTCATTTTATAAAATCGAATCATTGCACCGAATGTCAATTCAATTTAAATCAAATCAAAAATAAAACAAAGTTTAAACAAATAGACACATTTTTAATGCAAATCCAAACAAATTCGATGAAAATTGTCAAAATTTTTGGTAGCAATGGCAATGAGAATGCTGGAGCAACAAGTCGACAATGCGTTAGTACAAAGCAATCGCAACAGTATACAAATGGAACAAGCTATTCGCCGAAGACCGAACGAACCGATTTCAACAGTCGGCCCATTTGTTTAGATTTTGTGAGCTCGTTTGGTTCATCATCTTTCAGTCGTGATACGGTCCAAAGTAATGGCAGCTCAATTAATTTTATGGATTATAGAGATTTCAATGGTAACAGTCCGCATTCAAGCTATGCCATGTTTGCTGCACAAAGTGAATATCCACCGCCACCACCAAACGGATATGCTGGATACAATCATGCCTATCACTATTCGAATCCGTACATCAATCCGTCAACCACAAACTATCCATTGGCCGTTGCCGGAGACTACAATCCAAACTCATTTGGAATGCCACCACCACAACATTTACCACAAGACATTAAAATTCCAAAAGACAGGTAACTGAACGATTTCTATTGAAGATGATTTTGCACTCGGTTCTGAAAAATTATGTCGCACATAATATGCAATTTTTCATTTCCATCGTGTCGACTAATGCAATCGTTTGCAAATTTTAATCAGTTTATTCAAAAATGATCGTAGTCATCCGCAAGAATTGAAATGTCCAACGCCCGGTTGCGACGGATCTGGTCACATAACTGGCAATTATTCATCGCATCGAAGTCTTTCGGGTTGTCCACGCGCGAATAAACCAAAAACCAAACCAAGAAGCGGACAAGACTCCGAACCATTGAGGTAAGAAATTCAATACTTTTTCATATTTTTTCCCCATTCTGTTATATTTTTACTTTATTTCGCCCATTTGAAAGCCAAAAACACTGAGAACAAACAAAAAGTTCATTCTCTTAAAATTCTTTGTTTTTTTTTTGTGTGTGAACATTTCTGCAGATGCCCAATTCCAGGATGCGACGGCTCTGGTCATTCGACTGGCAAATTTCTATCACACAGAAGGTGAGTGAAGCACAAAAAAAGTGTACATACAAAATCTCTCCCCTTTTATTCTATATCTCATTCTCGTTGCGAATACTTTTATTTGAGTTTATTTCGTTATGTTTTTTTTTTTTATCTTCGGTGCACAAGCGGATAATTTTTAATAACGATTTCTTAATAAGATGAGTATTTGCTTAATATGGATTTGGTCAAGGGTCAATTCAAATTTAATATTTTCATTGAAAAATGTGTGCACAGGCTCATCCACACACACACAACAATTGTGGGTATCATAAACCGACGGTCAAACTTGCAAGCCAAAAAAAAACGTTTGGGGCGAACCTCATTTTGGCGTTGAGCAAACAAATAAGATTCACTTAGTGCCATTCGCAAATGATATTTAAAATACATACTCCAATTTTATTGTTGAAGCGCAATTTTCTCTCTATATTTTTAATAATCCTTCTGGTTTTTCTGTCCAACGGAAATTTGTTTTTTATTTTCTCTTTCCCAAGAAGTGAAACATATGCGTTTGAATTTCGAATAAAAAAAAATATTATCTACAAAATTGTCGAATAGACAATAAAAAATTGTGAGTGAGAATTTGTTGAAAATTAAGCGTAAAAAAGGGCGTCATGTGATTTTTTTTTTGTGTGTGAATGTGTGAATTTAAACGGATGTGTGACGTTAAACGACGACATTTGTTTCGATAATGCTATTTTTTCCGTGTCTTTTCAATCTAACTCTTGACCATTTTGTCCCTGTTTATTTGTTAAGTTAAAAAGCCATTCTTCTTGCGATGACTGATTTCGGTCTGTTAATGCTTGGCTTGAGTGAGTTTTTTAGTCTAGACGCGAACGAGTAGCATATTTGGTCCATTTTACCGGTTCTACCTCACAAGATACAAAAAAAAGTGTAATGAAGTCATAAGCGAAAACAAAGGATACTAAAGAGGGTTCACCGCACATATTGTCCCGTTGATATTTTCCGCATTTTATTTTACATATATTAAAAATGACCGTATGTGTCATGTTTCCCGTTTCTTTCTTTTTTTTTGTATAAATTTATCCTTTTTGGAAATATATTATAAATTGTTTTTTCACTCTTTGGATAATTGAAACGAAGCGTGTAAATAAATTCATTGGATCTGTTTTTTTCGTTCGTTCGTTTAATTCAGTGCAAGTGGGTGCCCCATCGCGAATCGAAATAAGTTACGTGCTCTGGAAATGGAGAGTGTGGTTGAAAAACAGCGTCACATGACAGTTGGCAATGGTGGCAATGGATCATCGTTGCTCGTCAGCTCCAATCCAAATAGTCTCAACAATAATAACAATAATGTTAACGGTTCGAATAATTCGACAAGTAATAGCCATAGCTACATGTCATCACTACCTTTAACATCGTTAGTTCCGTCATCAAGTGTGTCGCTATCTTCTCAAACTTCAAGCACATCGACTTCAGCAATTAAAATTGACGGCATTAATTGCCCAACAGTAGGTAAGTGGCCAAAATGTGCGTGTGCGTGTATACCCTTACTTTTTCATCTTTCGTTTGTCATTCATTTTTTTCGTTGTTTGGTGGGAGTTTTTTTTTATTTCGTTTTGTTTCGTTTTTTGGGTGTTTGTTAGAAATGCATGAATTTGTGTTCAATTCCAACCAGGTTGTGATGGAACTGGACACATAAATGGAACATACTTGACACATCGTTCATTATCTGGTTGTCCTTTAGCACAGGGAATAAAACGAACAAAATATGATGACAGCAGCAGCTCACTTTTGGCATCGGCGAATCGATTAACTGGTAGGTGAGCATAATTCAATCAAACTTTTTTCCGTGTCGATTTCCGTTTTGTATGCGAAAAATGCTTGTGTTTTGTGGAGAAAAGTTTCACAAAATCATTGATAAACATTTTGATCGAAGTTTCACTCATTTATTTAATCGATGTGCTCTAAATTTGTTATATTTTCTGCCTTAGATATGGATGTTGATCATAAAAATGGAAGCTCAACGAATGGCGAAAACTTTTCATCGAGTGCAACAGATGTGACCGATTTGCAACGAGAAAAGGCTCAAGTTGAACTGCAAATGCTTCGACTCAAATCCAACATCAACGCCATAGAATTTCAATTGAATCATAACGAACGGGTAAGCTAATGCTTTTTTTACACACCATTTTTCGACAAATAGATAAGTTCACAAACTCGAAATTAGAAAAAGATTGAGCATCGAGAAAAAAATAGATTTTCAATAAAATCAAATGAAGGAAATCTCTAGATATACACAAACATATTAGATGGTTCAAATTAGTATAGAAAAATCTATGCGAAACGCAGAAGGATACATCTCGACGAAAAGTAGCCCAATATCAATTTGCTTAACTCTATTTATTGCATCCGAAGCTTAATTTCTCTATAGTGCGCATTTGAAGCGATAGTATATTTCCATCAAATTTTTACTTCGAAAACTAGATGGATGCGGAAATAATTTTATTGAAAAAGTTTATTTTATGGATTAAATTAGCATCGTTGGAAAAGCATTTTTCTGATTTTTTTTTTTTCGTTCTAGCTTTCAACCTTTTTTTATATGGTGATACACCGTGAAGCGGTGATTTTCATGATTCCGTATTTAGTTGGACATGTGGTGTTGTTTTTTCATGTCTGATTGAAAAGTTCCCTTATGATAGGTGCAATTGGGTTCTCTTTTTTTTTTGCTTCATCAAAATTAATTACGAAAGTGCAACCAACTGAAGAGTGAAAAGTTGTGGCGCATATAAAGAGTGGAAGAAAACAAAAAACTAAATCCAGCTCATTCATTTTGGCACAATGAAAGTGTGTAATCGGATTAATTTGAAACTGGTCGCAATGTTTCGAACAGCAATTTACTTTAAAGTGATTTCCATTTTTTTTTAATTTGCGATCGTAGTGGACATTGGTGGTTGGCCATGAATGAATGTACAATATATTATATTGCGTATGAAAATAATCTAAAGGAAGTTTTGCGTGACATCTTGTAGCAAGTAATGAGCGTTCTCACGATATATTTTCTGCTTAAAATTAACGTGCAAAAGTTACATTGTTCATGGCTCAATGTACATGTATAAATACCATATTTTGTAACTTATTTATGGTTTTTACCGTAACTGTGATGTCGTTACTGCCACTGTTGTTGGTGATAGCTATTCAAAATGTGGTGTAGGCTCCGGTATTTTACAATGTTGTAAATGCGCTTTGTGAAAAATGTGAGTGCTCCGCAATGGCAGCTTAAATAAATGTAGTGTAATATTTTCCAAAAGCGTTTACACAACAAACACCAGCGGAGAGTGTGCCTCATTTTCTCTTGGCCAAGAATATTTGGGTGCAATTAATTCTGTACACATTCACACATAAATCGCTTTGCACACACAGAAAGAAATATAAACGACGAAGTACTGTTGTTCGCAATCGCATGCAGCAATGCAATTTCTTCTCTATATGTATTGTTGGTATTGCCAAGCAATGCTCTCCGCCATTCGGTCTGTTTCTCAAGTTGAAAATCTCAACGCTTTATTTAAAAACATTGAAGTTCGTCGTCGTTTTTTCTTCTCTCGTTCGTTTTGGTCTCGTTGCGTTTTTTTCTTCTCTGGCGAGTGTTGATTTCAATGTATTGGTAGTTGTGTCTGTGTGTTGATATTATGCAGCCCGGATGCATTCTGCGCAGTGTACACGACACATTTTGGTTGGCTATCATTGGAAAGTGCATAGCAGCTGAACGCCGCTGTTTATATACAACTTGAGTAAACTATGAAACGAAACGAGAAAGGAATAAGGAGAGAGACATGGAGAGAGAGAGGGAGAGAGAGAGCTTTGAGAAAAGCAAGTTGCACGGCATACACAGGCACATAATCGACGTGCCATACATAAATCATGGGATATGGCTACGCCCAGAAACCTTACGTTTTATATTGTTGTTGTCATCTGCATCATTCTTTCGATTAAACACATTTCTTAGCCATATCTCTTTCGTTCCGTTTCTTGTTTTGTTTTCGACTGTGTGTCTGATCGGCCACGATAAAATTCGATTGAATTGAGAGAACATTCGATTGATTCTAAACTCCAATTAAATTGAAATTGCAATTAGATTCCATTATAATTGCGATTGTTGTTCAGCGATGCTGCGACATTTCTCTGCCAAATTGATTTAGTATAATTTGTTTAAGCTAAACTTTAAATCCGATTTTAAAATGTTAGCGACGCAAATTCACTTTCTCGTTTCGAAAGTCTCTTGTCCTTCTTTCCGCTCTTCTTTTTTTTCAATTAAATATAATTTACCTTTGGAGTTTGTCCCATCCAATTGAGTTGTGAGAACAAGCTCTTTTTTTTCGTTTTGTTTGTGCACAAAGTACAGCTTTTGATAAATCTAAATATTTGCATTGCTTAAAATGTATATTATTAGTGTGCACTAACACCGGGCGTCGATCCATTTTTCTGCTTGAAGAAATAGCGTAAATAAATCGAGGAAAATTATGATGAAAATTAGTAGTTTTCCAACGAACACACTTTACATTCGTCCGACTGCAGCAACATTGTACTGCATCAAAGTTTTTGTTTTTCTTTCGCCTGTCATTTCTTCTCGCTCGCTTTTTTTTCTCACTCTTTTGCCTCTTCATAACATTGAAATCGAGTTGGCATTCATTGTAATAAATGGAATTACATGCCGGCAAACGGAGCACTTCAACTTAATTCACTACACTTCGGGGTTTTTTTCTTTTTCACCAAATATTGATTTTTCGTTCAACTATTTTTTTTGCCTCTACGGAAGAGACTCCATCACTGACGATGCATTCGATTCCTGTTTTTATTGTTGCACCCATGTTTTGTACACCGTTCCGTGTTCCAACACTATAATGTTGATTCAGCTTCTATCTCATGTTGATTTTAACAATTTTCGAACAAAAACCCAACGGAGTTTAATGACGATGCGGCTACTGAAGCACTTAATAAATTAGCATATACGGCATTTTAATCAAAATGTGCAAATTAGTCAACAAAATGTGTACGAGATAGAAAAAAAAATATTGTTGAAAACAAATCTGCAAAAATTAAGGTTAATACTACGGATACGGCGAATTAAATAAAACAAAACAAAAAAACGAGTTCTAAAAACGATGGCTATCAGTTTTGGGACCATCGAAATTGAAAAGCTGAAGTACTTTAATTAAATTGCTTTAATGTAGGAAAAACACTAGTCAATCCAAGGAAAATCTAATAAATGTTGTTCTTTTTTCTCGTTTCATTTCAGTGCGTCTAAATATAAATAGTAAAATATTTCTACTTTACCACGTAAAACAATAGGCAAAAAACACTACACTCCAAGCATTCACACTAAAAAACATTCACTCTCTATATATATTTTATGCATTAAATGAACTTAGATTTTATGTATAATGAACACAATGCAGGCTATTCTCGATATTTAAATCTAATATTAATTATTAATCTATTGACGTAACATGTTACCAAAATGAACAAAAAAAAACACACAAACAGCTAACTTATTCTCTACATTTTAAGCTTAAATGCAGATAGAGAGAGAGAATGTGACATGACAAGCATCTAGATCTAGTAGGAACTAGACATTTTTGGACTACACAAAAATAATCATAGAGAATTTTATGTGCAATATTCGTATTTAAATGATAAGTAATTAATGAGCAAACAATGGCATAGTAATTTTTGAATGAGCAAACAATGTTTTGTTGTTGGGGTTTTTTCGGATTAGAACCGGAGAAAAACCAGAAAAAGTCAACGATTTTTCGCATTTTTTGTACGTGAGAATGGGAAACTTTGTATTTGGCTCTCTTTAAAAGAGTTTAAAAGAAAACGCCATTGAGTGGGGATCTTGACAATTTCCACAGAGAATAACGACCTTCTCTGCAGTCATTGGCCGTTGATATGAAAATTTACGATCTTTCTTGTATTACCACGAATGACCAAGAAATCCAGAAAGAAACATTTGTCTCTCATTTTATGTTCTAATCTGTATTCAAGCATGGACTTGTCATTCAATCAAATGGTTGAACAAATGAATTCAAACTCCTTGCTTTGTAATACAGATAGTCTGTATATGAATAAAAGAAGAAGAAAAATTGTCATATATTATTGTCAAGATGTTAGGCTGTAAGAAAATGTCAGTTGTTTACGCTGACAAACACTCTCATAAATGCGGTATATAAATTCAGTGTCAGAACATAAAGTGTTAACTAAATTTAAAATTGATGAATGTTTGGACACATTTTTATATATAAAGAAAGAAAAAAACCAAGTATCCAAGAAGGTGCGTCAAAAACTAGTTTCATTTTTGTAAATAAAAATTTTCACACACACATTGTTTTTTGTTTAAGTGGTCGATTGGCGTCATGTATCTGAAACAAATAATCGGTGATAAAAAAATGATAAAATAAAAAAAAGGAAATCGATTTTCTTTAGTTTGAGCTAAACATTCCTAGTCGTTGTTGTATTATGTTATCCTTCATTCAAATTCGTTTTCATTTTTCCTCATTTTCTTTATTTATTCGCTAAAAATAGAATGTAATGTAAAAGTTTTTAACTTTAAAATTTGGCTCTGATCGTTGTCACACATACAATTCGGTCGATGTCACGATGCATGGAGCATACACGAAAATGACACATTCAATCAAGTTTTATCACTACATGTATACACCAGCAGCATTATGCTATTTAAAAACAAAAATACCAAATAAACAAATTCTATCAATGAAATGCCAATTTAATGGAATAAATCATGTGTCGGTAATAATAAACTAAAAATGATGAAAAAAAAATCTTACAAATAATCACAACATTATACATAACTAACTGTTATCACGATTCCTAGAGTTAAAGAGCTGAAAATAATAATAAAATAAAAACTGGAAACACACAATATTTTAAAATGAACATCTACCACACACACACGATTTACCGCTACAATGCTATTATGTATTTGCAACCGTTGAGTCTCAAAAATACAAAAAAGACATTTTACCTAAGGAAATTCACAAATGAAACAGCGTCTAATAAAATTGGTCCGAATAATACAAAATTGTTGCGACTTTTATTTTGCTTTCAATGTATTTCAGATGCGTTTCTTTCACTTAAGATTCAATGAAACGGTAAGTAACTAAAAAAATGTTGGAATTGAATTGAATCATTCACTTAAAAAATGTGTCTTTTCTAAATAATCAGACTACTTTAAATCCGGCGCCATGTAAGACTTTAATCAGTCGCTAAACTCTTTTCGCGCTTTCTTTTATTGTTGAACGGGCTCGAGTAGATTGAATCTAATTGCCACCTTGTTGACAATTACATTTTTTTCCTCGACAAATATTTTTGAGGGTACTTATTTCAATGTCTTCATTCTATCTTTTATCTCGTTCCAAATGTATTTTTTTTTCGTTTCGGTTTTTCTCTTTTTGGTTTTATTGCACATTTGATTTTGTTGTTCATTTGTGCTATTCGTTGCTAATTAAATGCAAATGTTTATTACCTCAAGTAAAGTAAAATTAATTCAAGCCAAATGAAAACAACCGCTGTAAAAATTGTGATGTCCACAATTCAAACCGAATGGAAAACAGAGCAAATCAAAAGCAGAAAAGACATGGAACGGAAAAGAATGAGAAAAAAGTGGTTGAACATTTGAAGAAAACGAATCGCGCGAATAAAAAAGTCGACAAAAGTGACATAAAAGCAAATAAAAAAGCATCAAGTTTAAATCTAGCAATGAATTGTTCGTTTCAATTGCCGGACGCTGAGGGTGCATGAAACAAGCGAGACAATTATGATCGTCAATTGTAGCAATTCTTTTTTTATTCTTATTTTCGACTATTGTTTGGCTTAATTCGATGCAAGTGGGTGAAAGAGTCAGAGAAAAAAGGGAGTGATGAGAAAGGTGGGATTTTTAAAGCGGTTGCTCAAGTCACGTGGTAACGAAAAAGGTGATGACCGAACTGATTGAAGACTGAGATACGAAACGACTAGATAAATTAGAAACGAAATCTTTTTTTTGTAAGGGCGTCAATTTGATTAGATGTGTTCATCAAGCATTCGAGTGGAACGTGAGTGGGAAATGTAAATCCTCGAGAAAAAAAAATATTCCAAATATTCTAATCGCAGGTTTGTTTTATCCTTTGAGGGAAAAGATTAAAGGGTTCTTCCTGTTACGATACGTCGCATTATCTTTGATGGGCCATTTATATTCGAAGCCACGAAAGAAAAAAGAATCCTGACTGATATGTACTTCTTTTTCGTACCCCTTGACCGATTAACAGCAAATGCGCCGACTTTGTGCCTTCGTTTGAAAAGTACATAAAACAATTTTTGTTTGTTTTAAAACTGTAGTTACACCAAGGCGCACAAAAAATTAAAATGTCTTCTTCTATCGCGGGCGCTATTTGCATATGGTTATCCTGATGAACAAAAAAAATCACAAAAATAAACAGCAGCAAAAAGGGTTTGATATTTTCGTTTTTTTTTTGTTGAGCGTGTTTTTTCTGCATGCCAGTCTAATGAAATCAAATGAACGTCAATGCAAACAACCGGCGCAACGGAATAACGATTCAAGTTAGAAGATATTAAATGAGAGGTAATCAAAAGATGTTGTTACACTTGTTTTTGTTGTTATGTATACAAACACCCCAAAAATTAACGAGAAACAAACCATAAAAAAGCGACACGTGAGTTATAAATATGTTCAGGAAGAACGATTTTTTAAGATTTCAAAATTACTTCATAATTAAGCAAAACGGATGAATAGTTTCATTTTTTTTGTTTCACGAACAATTTCTTTGAGGCACAAATTCCCAGAAGGAGTTGATCTTTGAAATTAATGAAAAAAACCATGAAAAATGATTCAGGTCAATCATTGAATTGTTTTCTCCTTCAATCTTGATTGAGCTCGTGTGTCGTGCATCATTTCGATAAAAGTAAGCGTATTTTTCGCATTTAAAATCGGAAAAAAGGGCAAATCATCGATCTAATTTATAAATTAGCGTAATTTGTTAAGGCTGTTGACGGTAATAACAATAAAAGCCGCAACAATCATCGTTTCGTTCGTCGAGAGTCTCCAGCTGATTCATTAAAAGAAATCCGCAAAGTGCATTCTATGTGAAATGTGAATAAATTAAACAATTGAATTTCTTTGTTATTGTTGTTGAGTTTAGAGTTTCTCATCTTCAAGTTCCGGTTTTTTTATAAGTTACTCTTGTTTCCGATTGACTGAATCACAGCGAAAGAACATTCAGTGAACAAAAGATTTTTTCTGGTCTTTTTTTCCTGCCTTTCTCTCTCTTTCTCTCTCTCGAGTCGAGAGCAAATTTATTTAAAAACAAAAGTGTGTGTTTTTTTTTCATTCGGTTCGTTCGCCTTTTATTTTGAAGTGGAGAAAATTCATTTGCCGTTCGGCATCAAATGAAAAAGAGAACATCAATTTCGGAAAAAGAATGAGAAAAAAATGTACTTGACGGAATAGTAGAATTGTTCAAATGTTCCGTGTACAAGCCTCATAAATATTCATTTTGAGAGCAGGGATATTTTTATGTGAGTTTCCAATTCGACAATTGTATTTGCATTTGATAGTGATTCCACCACAGATATATGCTATGCGGCGTCGTCCAAATAACCCATACCCCCACATTCATCTGTCGATTGATTGTTATTTGAATTTTTTTTGGAATCGCGTGGGGCGCGCACTGCTTAGCGCCAGCACTCAATATTTCATAACAGGGAAAGACGAAAAAAAAATGTATTGAAAATTGAGTGAATTCTTTTCGCAGAGCGGCAAATATGAAATTCTGTTGTGGCCATTCGTCTCTCGTGTATGCATAAACAGTGTGTTCGTATGCAGTCTCAAGTGATTGACTTTTATGGCATTCGATTGGTTCATTTATGTTTTATTCAACATAACACTAGCAATGGATTGACGACCGGCGAACATTGGTACATAAAATCATCTGCCGAAGATTCGAGGAACCATACCGCATAAATCGAATCAGGGCCACTTTTCTATTGTGGTTATACCAAAAACGAGCAAAAAACGCAAATCAAATCAATTTCTATTTGCATTTCCATTCTTTTGTTTTCATTCGCTTTGCTTTCTTTGCCAGTTCTTTTGCTACTTTTCAAATTCAATAAAATTTTATATTTTTCCGGCAGCACAAGACTTTTTTTTTTTAGCTCGTTTGCTCGCTTGGCAAAGAACAGAGTTGCTTGGTTTTCTTGACGATTTGGAATGTATCACGGTAAGCCAATGCAATGTGATGAGCCGGGCCATTGAAGGAAGGGGTTGTCATAGGGCAATGGACCCACGTCATAATATATTAAAATTCTGGTATTTATTTTCAAAACGATCTAACGAATGCGAAAATATTTACTTTCTGTTACTGTTTGCATTGCAATCGAAATATGATTTGGATTTTTCGATATGAAATTTGATCCGGCGTTATGACGCAGTTGAAACCAATTTTATAGAACAAATGTTCATACTTTTTCGGGCAATGGCTCACATATTTTAAATGATGGCTCACATATTTTAAATTATCTACCAATTGTTTTCGTCACAAAACTGTTATCAGAAATTGTGCTTCGGATTTTGGTTTCGTCACTCCTTATTTAGGAAAATAAACTCGGTAGAGTATCTGTATAACAAAATTTGTATGAAATTAATGACATTTGATATTTTTAATTCCTTTGTATTTACATAGGAGATAAGTTCAAAAGAGTCCACATGTTATAATAAAAATTCGGCAATACTTTTATCTTATCATGTTGTGAGCGATATGATTTATTGATTTATTGTTGTACATTGAGTGGTTCCAATTCATATGAGTCGTCTTTTTGCTTTTAGTAATTTCTCCTTTGTCGTCACTGGCATCTCAGTATAAATCTAAATCATGAACTCACGTCTATAAATTTCTATGATTATCCCATTTTTTCGATGGCAAATTGCAGAAAAGTTGTCGAAATATAGGAATTGACATGTTGCCACGACATTTTTCATAGAAACTGTAAATAATATTTCATGTATTTCCTCTCGAATTCAATTCAAAATATTAACTAAATGTTATCAGAACAAAGTGTCCTTATTTTTCCATTGAATATTGATGCAAATATTAAATTGAAAATTCTCTGATTTGTAAAGCCTATTAAAAAGTTATCATCAAAAGTTTAATCATGTTGTGTTAATGGCTCAGAGTCAATCTATTATATCATACAAGTTCTATAAGCATCATTCTTGTGTACTTATTTTTTTTTTTTTTTCAAATCGCTTGTTTATAAAAACAATTGGATCAAAAAATATAATGACCCTCATTTATTTTTTTCACCACTTCATTGGTCGTTGTTAAGCAGATTAAAAGAATTCCACTTGAAAAAAAATGTCATTCTTACTCAGTACGTAAGTGGCACGTGGAATGCAAATAAATGGTGATAACAACAAAATAAGCTTATAACTGACAAAATATACTTCAAACAAAATCCTCTTACACTTCAAAAGTAGGTTGCGCCGATAAAAAAAATAAATCCTCATTTCAAGCAGTTGGACATTCACGTGTGTTCCATGCAGTTCCGCTTGAATTGATTTGGAAAAAAAGAGGGTGTTTAAAAATGTTCATTGAAATGACATTGCAAGTAAATTGTGTTAGTCTCATCGACTACGCGCTAAGTAACTTAAGATAATTTTTGTCCATTGTGTTTTTTCTCTTCTCAATATACGAGCATATAAATACATAATAAAAAGCAAAAAAATAACTTTTCTGATAAAATGATACGTACTTGGCTCTGCGAAAAACAACAACATTGATTCCCAGCCGGGGGTTGGTGTTTGATGTGAAAAGTGAACGTATTGTTCATATCTTCCATTGACAGTAATTACCTCCCCGAAGAAAATAGATTTTGTGCCTCGGCTGCATACACTCTAACAGGCACACGAATTTTATGAGCACACCATCAAATTGAGTCACGATAAAAAGATGATAAGACAGTTTAAGAAATGATGAGTGAAACACACAATTGTATATAATATTTGTGAAGAATACGCCGTGGGATCAG